CTGTAGTTCAACTGGCCCATCATCAATGTTACATACAAACGGATTCTGGGACAGATGAATGTCACTATCAATTCTGTCAAGATCTTAAAATCTCTCCGAAGTATGTTCCTTCAAGATAACAATAATTTTTTCGTTCGCAATAAAGGTTATTTTGTGATAATTATGAATGCGTTGACATTACGAAAGTAACAGCACCAACTGGCAACGGATTTAAAGGAATAGACTAACTTATAACAGTTAAAGTGTGAGAGAAAATTTTCTTCGGAATAACTTATTTCATGAATAAAAACATATTTTAAGTTAAAAAAAAAACAAACAAAAAAACCAACAAAAAACAAACATGAACTTTAACTTTATTTATTTGGTAGGCCTACAGTATTTTCTAACGGCAATGACTCATGTAAATGCGTTCATTGCTAGAAAATTCCAGTTACCGCTCCTTGTAACGCTATATAAATGTCACTTCCGCGTTGTAGTATGTTTATAGTTTTTCTCCGGTGAAGAGTTTTGACAGGTGAAAAAGATATCGACGCAGGTGTAATTTTTAAAATAATTTTGTTTACTTACCAGGTAAATATTTATTTTTGTCCCAGTAATCTTAATGTTGTTTCTTAAATCCTGTGTGTCAATTAACTGAAATATTTGACTAGCAATTTTATGTTTAACTTAATTGTATTTGTGTATATTAGGCCTGATAATTAATTAATAATAATTAAACTAATTTATAATTAATAGAATTTAGTTAATTACTTACTTAGGATTAGGTCTACCACTTAATTATAATGAATTGTTAGAGGCTTATCGGTGATTTAATTTAAGTGACTTAGTAAATGATTACTGAGTAGGCCTTACAGTTACAGTTGATAACTGGACTAATCAAAACATTAGACATTAAAAAAAAATTAGACTTAGACTTAGACTAATTTAGACACCCCCCCCCCCACCCCCACTATTATAAAAGGAGTAGCCTACACATGTCCTGGCCCTAGATGAAATCCTGAAAGTTCCCTTGGGCTTGGGTTATTCAGGCGATTTGCCATGTAGGAAACCAGCTTATAATCCTAAAGAATAATCCCAGTCCTTGTGATTTTGTCCTGTGAAGTCTGCACCATCGTCACATTGTGACGGACAGATGCCAGAAAAAGAATATATATATATATAAATCTGTAGGATGTAGCTGATGTTTTTTTTACTGATTTCAGGGTTTCTTTACTTCTGCAGCACCTTTTAATTACAACAGCAGTTACATTGTCAATTTATTAGTCAATAGTGAAAGGACCATTGATTCTTTATTGCTTTCTGTCTTCTTCAATTGTATTTCTAAGGTTATGGTCAATGTGTGTATAAAAATATAATAATATTCAGTTAAATCAAGATAGATGAGACTTAGCATGTGGCACTCATCATTATTGGGGAGTTTACAAGATAGATGAAACTTAAGATGTGGCACTTATTATTGGAGAGATTACAACTCCATATTGTACATCATAGTATCTGACATACATGTTTGTTGTGTTTTGAAGAGCTTTCACTTATGTAAAATGATTTTACCAAAGAAACCTTGCAAGCAAATGACACCAGCTCATTTCTAGGCTTATATTTACATCCCAAATACAAAGATAGAGAACTAACTGACAAAGAAATGGAGATTGTGATGGAATTTACAGCTTCAAAGGATCCAGATTTTCTTCCACTTTTGATAAATTTCAGAGCTGAAGCTTCACTATTTCGAAAGTTTATGTTTCAAGACAACGTTCTTAAAAATCATAAAACCTTGTAATTGGTGGAATTCTCATAGGAATCGTTTGAATAATAATTACTGTCAATTGTAGATCAATTGCTGACAGCTGTTGCATTATCTGTTGAGTTGAAAGAATATTTTTATCTTTAAGTCTTGTACGTTCAAACATTAGAAATTGACATGAGTTTGAGAAAGCAGGAAAATTACTTTTTCTTTTCTAATTATTTAAACATAAAGCTTTGGTGGAGTTGATTGACATTGACCTCTGAAAATATGACATTGATAATCCGAGTTTGAAAGGGTGAAACTTATTTGAAATACTTATTGTTATAGATCACATAGAGACTGGAACATTAAGACTAAGAAGTTTCAGTTGCTGATTTTAGACTTCTAAAACTTTTTAAAGTTAAATATTTTCCTTATTATCTTATTAGAATATGAAAAATTTCAATGTTGAATAAAATATAAAAACCCTTCAATGGATTTTAAAATTATTTTTCTAAACTCATGATGTAATATCCAATTTATAATAAAAAGAGTTTAAAAATTATATTTATGTACATAATGTTTTATGTTTATAAAAAAAAATAGATATACTTTAAAATCTAAAGAAATCATTTAAAAATGAAAAAAAATTATCATTTAAATAACAAAAAAAATCATAATTAAAAATTTTAAAAATTTCAATAAAATTTTTAAAAAATCTATTTGAATTTGAAACAAAAAGATTGAGTTAAATACTATTAGACTAACTACATTATGTTAAATCTTCATAAAGATGAAATCTAAAGAAATCCTTTAAAAAAAGGGGAAGGAAAAAAATAAGTTTATTTAAAGAAAAAATCAGATTTAAATCAAATAAATCAGATTCTTTTGAAAACACCTTGATTCTTATCAACCCCGCAGTATAGTAAAAATGTGTTTTAGGTAATGAATGTAAAAAGAATTGTTTAAAAAAAACAAAATAACAATTTTATTCAAGTTTGGCTAAAGTATACATTTTAACCAGAAATAATTTTTCTTTGACAATCAAAGAGAGATCATTAATAATAAGTGAAGTGAAGTATATCCTATTTTTTTACAATTTATCTTTACTCCCATTATAACTGTTAAAGATTATAATTTAAAAAAACAATGGACAGGAACCTTACTTTTTATTTACTTGCTTGAGTGAAGTTTAATTGCCATTCATTTTGTTTTCTGAACTCCATTTACCAAGTCAGTTTCAGATAATGAATCCACATTATCAGTGCCGGTATATTAAGTTTAAATTGCTTAAATCTATCAGCATTCTCCATGTTCTAAATTTTCAAATTGACATTGCAGCTTTGGAAATGTCTTAGTTACTCCCAGACTTTGAAGCGCATTTAGCAAAAAATATTTTCCACACCTCTTTACCTGCTACACGTTACGCAGCACTTTTATGGGTGCTGTCCCATTTTCAAGGCCATTCAATAATGTTTAAATCTGCTTGATCTTTTCTTGTATCCTGGTTCCTTTAGTGAGATCCCATATTCAGCGGTCTTATGGGTGTCGATGGCAGATGTAAAATGACTCTTTCAAGGATCATTCTGTGAACAGCAGGTGTCATTTCTATTAAGCCTTCAAAAAAATATTTCAGACCAAAAATTCTACAAATTTCACATAAATTTTGATACATTTTAATACAGCAAAATATAGCTCCAACGAAACTGTGTTGTAATGAAAACCAAGGTTTTATCTCTCTATAGACGTGAAGGAAAAAGCTTCTAGCTCAAGAGGCTGGCTACTCATCCTTCCCCCCTCCCTCTGCTGGTTGCCATTAGCTGTTTATAATATAGGGCAGGGGTCCTCAAAATGTTTAATTTGTGTGGGGGGAGGGTTCACTGTCCTGTATACATTGTGGGGGGTGGGGAGGAAACTATTATTTGATTTAACAAAATCAGAGGGAATTCATATGCAAATTGCACATATCTTATTTATAGAGCTAAAATAAATAACAAAATGAAAAAAGAAAGATCACTTATATGATGAAAAACTTTAATTAGCAACATTTTTTTAAGTATTTCAATGGGAAGTATGAGTGCTTTTGGCTAAAATGATGGTCACATTTTTACCCAGGTAGTTGTTTGAGGACCCCCTGGAAATGGTATATGGTATAGAGAAATACTATTTTCACCCCACAAGTTACTACTGCAAAACTTGAGCTTATATATCTAATGAAAACTCATGTAGGAAATAAGTTGTTCTGCTGTGCCTCTGTGTAGAGGAAGAGAAATAAAAGCAAGTAACTTTTGGTTTTCGGCATCTGCTGTATGCAGGTGCAAAATCAATAAGAAAATAAGCAAAAAATAAATATTTCTCCTGAAACAGATTTAATGGTATCGATAACCTGTTGTTCTAACTAAAGAAACATACCCTTTTGGTTCTAAAAGTTTCACGTTAGACTAGTGTGTTAGTTTACTTTTCTCGTCTTGCCATAGAATACCTTACTCCTTTGAATTATATGCAGTTTTTTTTTTAAAGAGATCATTGCCCTTGATGTATAATGGAGTTGATAAGGATGTTTTTTTTAATTGTCCAGTTTATAAATAGATTTTTGGTGAATGCATACCTTATGAATGGATAGACAGCCATGTTAGGCAATGGATCCTGTCACCTTTCTTTTGGCCCACACTTCTTAGTTGCTTGCTTCTATAGCAGGCTGGAAGAGTCCATAATTCTTTAACTCAGGTGAAACTTATGTCATAAAATGGTGTTATAAGAAGTGGACCAGAGTTTGGAAAATATGGGTAGTAAAATATTCATAGGCAGAACTATGTGGGGTATGCACAATTCCTCCTCTTCCCCTCCCCCCCTCCATATTTTTTAACGAATAACATTTATTTTTAAAATTTAAAGAATAATAATAAATCCAGTGAAAAATTTGATCAATGTATGATTTATTTAAACCTGTAGATGTCATGTTGGTAGTGGTTATATTTTTGAAATAATGTAAATACAGTTTCTCTTTTTAAGGAATTCTTTTATTTTAAGTTGTAAATAAATCAAGGGAATTTGTTATAAATATTCCAATTTTTATAAAAGAATATTTAAAATCTATAATTAGCCATTTGTGATAATAAATTTGCATGCTTTTGGAAAATCGTCAAGTAAATGTTTGCTTTACATCAAGTTGCCAAAATATTTCAGAACCAACACTTATGCATTTTAAGGAACTCCCACTCTTGGCAGGGTGTAAATATGCCAATATTGATTAGGTCTTTTTTTTTTTTTTAGTACTGTACTCCTTCAAGTCATTGGTTAAAATTATTAGAGTGACTAACATATAGTTTTGGACTTAGCTTAAGTTTGAAGCTGTGCTGTGAACTTGTGTTATTTAGCTATTTAGATATGCTGGAATATGAATTAAGATTTCATTAGTATTTTTTTTATTCAGGAATGTAAAGACCATTCAGTGTGCAGATAGGGGACATGTAGTTTACACTTCTTAGTTGCAGATTTATGTGTTCATTGTTGATTATGTGTGTGTTGTAAAGAAATGGCAACTAATCATGATAGACTATCAGGGGACAATCCCAGGGGTAGATATCAGCATAAAATGGAGATAAGTACTGTTATCCCAGAACCAACTTCACAAAACAAGGTTTTGTACCTGCATGTTTCTTGTTTTTAAAATAAAATAGTTTAAAAATATCATTACTTGATGTAACTGAACAGTGTGTTTAGTGTATATTGTACCTTTCTTACTCTTTGTAGATCATTTCCTGGTTAAAAAATATATTTGTTTTTATTATTATTCGAAATTTATTTTTGTGATTTTCTTAATCTCTTCCAAACTCACTTATGTCTACTTGGAATGCTATAATCAGTTCAAACTTTCTTTACAACACCTTAGATACAATTGAGAGATTTTTTAAAAAAAACTTTTTTTTATTTAAGTTGTGCCAATCACATAGGGATGTATAGTGCAATCAAAACATCAATGATAAAATGCCACATGCTATTTGTTTCATGATATGTGGTGTCATTACTTAAATTTGTTTCATTTTTTTTTTTATTGTATTGCCTACACTTGAGAAGCAATAAACAGTAATCATTGCTTTTGCAACCATGGCTTTTGAAAATATTACATCCCTAGAAATAAAAAGAGTTCCTTATTATATTAATCAGTATTTTTGTTCAATTGTACTTTCGTCTTCAGGAATCCCCTAAGAGGTGCCTTACAGCCATGAACTGTTTCAAACTACTTTTGATGATCTTCAACATACTATTTATTGTAAGTAGAAAGAACACATTTTCAAACATATTGATTGTATTACAGACAGGTAATGTAAAGTTCACTTTAAATTCAGACAAAATAATTTTAGAACTTGATACCATTTAAACAATGCGTTTGATCAACAACGTACGGTTCATTGTCAGTAGACAGAGCAGTTTTGCAAAAATATTGATTGTATTAGAGACGTGTAATGAAAAGGTCCCTTTAAATTAAGCCAAGATAATTTTTGAACTTGACAATTTAGCAATATGTTTGGTGAACAAGATATTGTTTAAATACCATTGCATTAATCACTAAATGTTCCCCAACATGGGTGCAGTAGTTGTTTTTTTATTTTTTATTTTTTAATCAGGGCTCTTAATTTCATTTACTTTAATAAAAATTTACTATTTTTCTGAAGATTTTAAATTTCCTAAGTGTTAATTGTGCAACAGTTATTAATGAATGGGTTATTTAAAATAATTCAACTTTATTTTATAAGGTTTCTTTGCAAAAGAAAAATTCTATGAAATTTCACTGTTAAATTAGTTTGGTAGGTTCTCTTTTCTTATAATTATTCTTTTTTAAAAGTTTTATCATTTCAAGAAAAATCATTTGAATTTCCTCCTACAATTTTTTTTGTTTTGTGTCAATTGTGTGTTAGTAGTTATGCTGCATGTAAATTTTTATATATGTATACTTATGAATGAAAAATCATTTCAGGCTGTTGGAATTGCTTTAGCTGCTGTAGGCATATGGACTGCTGTGTCTAAAGTATATGTGTCATTTGTGATTGGAGACACACTTTTTACTGCAGCATCCTACATGCTTATTGCTGTTGGTGCTATAATTATTATCGTATGTATAATCGGAACTGTTGCACTGTTAAAAGAAAATAAAAGATGGCTGATAATTGTAAGTATTAATGTTAAATTGTTTATTTAGTTTCTTCTGTTAGTAGCCCTTATTTTTAAACCATTGAAACATGCACTATCATTTTTTTTTTTTTACCTTTCTTATACATTAAATTTTATAATGTAAACATTTCCATCTCTGTTTCAGTACTTTGGGCTGCTGGTTTTCGGATTTTTTTTATTGATAATAGCAGCTTTTTTAGGCATAGTCTTCAAGGGAGAAGTAAGTTTCTCAGTTGCAGTGGTTTGTTATTTATATTAATGTTAAATTGTTTATTTATTTTTTTTTGTTAGTAGTCCTTATTTTTAAACCATTGAATCATGCACTATCTTTTTTTTTTTTTTACCTTTCTTATACATTAAATTTTATAATGTAAACATTTCCATCTCTGTTTCAGTACTTTGGGCTGCTGGTTTTCGGATTTATTATACTGATAATAGCAGCTGTATTAGGCATAGTCTTCAAGGGAGAAGTAAGTTTCTCAGTTGCAGTGGTTTGTTATTTCAATAAATATAATCAGTCTATTTTTGAAGAGTAATATAAATACTTTTTCATGTACTCGACACCATTTAACTTGAAAAGGATGATAAGTGAGAAAACCTGTATTTATGAAGATAAAAAGCACAGCAAAAATACAGATTCTGTAAAACAAATATACAAAATGCATGCTATTTTATGTGGTTGAAAAACTACCTTTAGGCTGTGAAATACTTCTACTGACTAATGTACGCTTTCAGCAACTTTAACATGTCAAGAAAAATTAATCAGAGGATGAAAGTAATATATTAACCTGGCATTAACTGTAAAGAAAATGGTTTTTAAGTAAAAATAATTTTAGTTTGGATTATTTGTGCATTAAATGTTATCCACATTTTAACAGCATGTGGATCAGTGCATAAAATGCTAATTATTTCATATTTAACATTGTTTCAATTAAACTGGTTCAGTTACATTTCCAAACTCTTAATTTTAAGGTTGAAGATGTGATGGTTCAAAGCATGAGAAACTCGCTCATTAATGGCTATGCCAAAGACAAAGAGATCACGTCTGCATGGGACCAGCTGCAAACAGAGGTAGGTGGCAATTTTAGTCCACAATTCATACGTTTTTTTTCACAAACCTAAGTATTGTAGAGAATCTTTTGACAACATGCTCACAACACGCAGTTTCACAGTGATTTTAGAAACAGTCAACACGTAGCAGACTTAATAGGGAAGAAAAACTTCTGCATCACACCTGGTGCATGCCATAATTTGATGCCAGTATGTGATATTTCCAGTGGAAAACACACATTTTTTTAACAGAAACCATTGCCCATTTTACATTTGACAATATTTGTTCTATTTCAAGGCGTTGTTATTAAAAAATTGATCACTGTTTATTAAAGATTAAATACAGTGGAACCCCGCTATTACGCGATGATCGGGGTCGATAAAATCGGATCGCGTTAAAAGCAGGGTCGCGTTAATACGCGGTTTTACAATGTTTAACTTTTTTTCGAGAACATTTAGGTGTATAATATTTATAGTTCTACCGGAAGAAAGCCTCATTTTCGGCATTAATTTTGATACTAGTTTGAACGTGGTGCGTTTAGGGGCTCATTTTCTTCGATATTTTGTAAATTTGTGATTTTTTTACTCTTTAAAAAATGGCTTTCCAAGCAATGGATAAAATTTTCAAAGAACTTAGGCCTGATGGAGTAAATGAATTTCAAATTTCGGGAGCCATGCTACGACCGCGTTATATCCGAATTCGCGTTAGGGCAGGGCACGTTATAGCGGTGTTCCACTGTATACTCTAAAGATTTTTTTTTTAAATGTGGTGGATGGGAGTGGGGGGGGGGTTGTGTGTTGTTGTTAAATCAACTGATCAAATGCTGCCCAGCTGTGAAGGTAAATCGTTATAAACTGGATCCATTCAGGGGGTAGCTTATTATGCTTTCTTATTATTACGTTATATCCGAATTCGCGTTAGGGCAGGGCACGTTATAGCGGTGTTCCACTGTCTACTCTAAAGATTTTTTTTTTAAATGTGGTGGATGGGAGTGGGGGGGGGGGTTGTGTGTTGTTGTTAAATCAACTGATCAAATGCTGCCCAGCTGTGAAGGTAAATCGTTATAAACTGGATCCATTCAGGGGGTAGCTTATTATGCTATCTTATTATTAGCATTGTTTAACACGTGCTCAGTCAATGTTTTATGCTTTTCGAAGAAATATTCTCTTTCTTTAAAGCCCCTTTACAACAACGGTTGCTTTCTCTCCCCCCTCAGTTGAAATGCTGCGCCTTGAGTCAAAAGCCTCTTGGACCAGCTGTGATATTTAATTTTCCTTACAAAGATGGAACTAATCCACTAACGGCAAAAGAGAAGGAATTACAGGATGGATGGCCTATATACAAACGTACAGAATTTTTCGACAAACAAAAGAGTATGCTTTTTTTCTGTAGATACTTTTAGTTGTTATATTAATAACTTTAAACATTAGTTTATGTCATCAAATGTAATTTTGCATAGGCCTATATTAGTTCAATATTTCTCAACAATATAATTTTAGGGTAGATGTTAAACTAAGGACACAAGGTAGCAAGATACAAGCTTGAAATATAAAAGCTTTTTTTTTTTTATTCAAAAATTACAGTTTAACAAATAAATATTAATTTTAAACAATTTTGACCTAAATTAGAACGTTTAAAAAAAAAATGAAATGTGTAACATGTATTTATATTTCTTTTTTAGGCATTGGAGTTAATGAAAAAAAGTATGTGCCTTTGTCATGCTGCGTAGTTGATGAGATAACAAAGGCATATAAAAGTGATAAATTCTGCCAGTATTTCTCACAAGGTCCACCGTTCAACTATGATATAGAAATGAAAAATGATTATCTTTATTATACTGTAAGTAAAAGTTTGAAATTGACATCCATTAGAGAATACTTCTGAAAAGCTGCTATGATGCCAGCTATATTAGAATGGTAGGCAGCTTATATTATTATTTTATAACTAGGGCTTAAACGGGAGCAGTTTTTTTTACACCGGGGTCCAGGTATTTTGAGAAAATACCCAGCGGGTCCAAGCGTTACAAAAAAAAGAGTTAACTTGCCATTTTCTATGAAATCTACTGCCCTATGCCAAGCGAGAGTGCATTGCCTTCGTTAACCATTTGTGTCAAGAAATGACCCACTGATAGGAAGAGGCAGTTGCAGGATGCCGGAATGGAGATGACGTTATAAAAAAAATCAGTCAAACAGAGAAGATAGTTTCATTCAGTTTATAACAAAGATTTACGAAGCAATAGTCGCATTATAACAAAAATAGCAATACCTTCCCGTACCAGGCTACGGGAAAAACATTTCCCACTAAAGAGAAAAATCCACCCATTTCCCCAAAGTTCAGAGGTCACGCATGAAGCTCGCTGCAGCCTTTTTTCACTCAGTACTATTAATATAAGGGGGGGGGGGGGGGTGTAAAAAAAAAAAAAAAAAAATTTTGGATATTTTTAGGGGGGGGGGGGATGTGTTGAAAAGAAGTAAAATAAATGTTGGATATTTTTCATGTAAAATATATGAAATGTATGTTTCTTTCAGCAATCAACCATATTTTTGTAATTATTATTTTTTTTCTTAAAATTTTTTATTTGCTGTAGACTATGTGTCTGGTAAAGTTATCTAGAATTTAAAAAAAACCAAAAAAAAACAACAAATTTAATACTTAATTTAAGGTCTGGAAGTCTAAAAAATGATAAAGTTTTAATTTTGATAAAGAGAGCAGATAATCGTGATCACCTTATATGTCTATAAATTTTTTTTTACAATTCTCAGGGTTGTTATGACAAAGCCAAGGAGCTGGTCCTCAGTCAGTCAGATATTATTGTAGCATTGGCTTTCGTGTTTGCCTTCATTATGGTAGGTGCTTTTCTATCTTTAATATTCTACAGCTAGTGCTGTATGGTCTTTTTTCAAATTCTGTGAATTTGTGTTCTTTTTAATTTTTTAAAATATCAGCACCCATTCAGTTATAATCAGATCCTTTGCGCTTTCTTCCACTGGACTACAGATCTCTGCCCAGTACTTTCACTTAACCTCATTTTTGTTTGTGTGGTATAATGAATTGTTATATTAAATTTTAATTCGAGAAAGCATGATTTAACTTTAAATTTGAACTAATCTTAGTACATTTTTGTTAGCAAACAATAAGTTTAATGCTTCTCATGAAAGGTGCTAATATACATATGCTATTTTTATCAAGGGACACATGATTGTTTAAAGTAAACTTTGTAGATGATAATGTACCGATGATTATGTAATCTCATTGATCCCTTCTGTTCATTGAGCCTTAAAAATTAAATTTTTTTGAGAACAGAATTTGTTAAAAAAAACATATTTTGTGTTTGTTTCCGCAGATTGCTGGAATGGTAATAACGTTTTTCTTGATCCGATCTTTTACTGATGATGAAGAAGCTGTTAAGCACAGACGTGAACCAGATAATCTTTAAATAGAAACCTTCTTTGTTAGTCACTGGGTAACTTAAAATGGATAAGAATACTATGCATCTATATTTTTGTGCTCTTGGTCTACTTATTCACTTTTATTTTGTCTTAATGACTTAAATTTTATTCATTATTTCTATTGATCAGTTATGAGCACAAATAACTTAAAGTATTATACAGCATTGTCTTTTTTAAAATCATTTTCAATGACGGTCTAAAAAATACATTCCTAAGATCTTTATAGCCTATAGAGACATATTTTCTTTAATATACATTTTTTTACATTTTATAAAAAAATCTTTAGGGATGTACAGTATACAATGTCCATGATGTTTATATTTTTATTTTTAAAAAAAAATTAGAGTGTATGTGTACAACTGAAATATGTTAAGCAAATCATCTTTCAGTATTATCTTTACACTTCATAGTTGAATTATTAAAATGTGAATGGTCTAAGACCTCCATCTCAATATTTTTTTACATCTCATAATGGACAACTGTCAAGCATTCCATGTGCCCTCAGTTACATATATTTAGTGACATATTTTTATTTGGGAAAAAAGAGGCTGTGCCAATTAATAGAATACGAAACACAATTTAAACATTTTTACAAATATTGTCATTCCATTTATTTAATATAAAATATATATATACTATAGTGTAAACTGAACCTAATTCTAGGGACGGAGGAAGCCATGTTTTTTATCGCAGCATTCCTATTTAAAAAATGTCTTTGTCTGTAAAAAAAATGTTATTAACATCCCGTGAAGAAGATCAAATGAATTCTATCATCCATTTTCTGTATTGTGATCTTTTATTATAAGAAAGATCTGTAAGTGCCAAGAATTATTTTTGTTAAGCTTGTCACATTCCTTAATATATTTTTAAATATTTGTAAGTGCATATTTTAAAAATACTAAAACTATTCTCAATTTTATTAAATCTTAGAAATGAACAAGAGCAAATAATTTTTTAATTTTGTAGATTTAATAATTATTTTTTTAATTCAACATTTGTATTCTATTTTCTTTAAAATTATAATAATTTTCATCAGCTAAGATCTTTTGTAGCAATTGTTTTCAAAGTAAAATCAAAGAGTGAAAAGTTATTCTTCTGAAAGATTTAATCAACACAAAGACAGTCTATATTTTGTATTTGTATTTGACACGCAATGGCATTATTATTTGACACAGCATGTTATGTAATATTATTTCATTTAGCTTCTTGTTTTTTTGTGTGTTTATTTAAAGTTTATGTCACTAATTTTTGTTTAAAATCTGCTACTTGAGAGCTTTTTAACCCAAATCATGCTGCATAGGTACAATATTGTTACTTGTGCATTTAAATTGCAATTTTCTGCTACATTTTTGGGTTAAAATATGGAGGCCGAAAGTGATGTTGTTTTACAAAACCTAACCTAAATGTGTAGATAATGTACACTGTACAAAAAGTACAATGACACTGAGAATTTTCAAACAAAATATATAAAGGTACAATTGTATCTATGCCGCCTGTTACTGTTAAAATTATGCAGCATGACAAGGGTTAAAGGAGTTTTCTGCAGATTATTTATAAAGAAACAAGATATATTATAGTGTTGCTATTTGTTTGATGAATGGTTTGTGTAGTAGACAACAAACTCAATACAATTATTCAAGAAAAAAAGTTACAAAATGAGTTATAAAGGTGTAAATAGGAACTTTATGTATAAACAATGAAAATTTTGTGCGATTATGTTTAAAAGAGGAGGTTTTATCTCAATTCAAAAACTTTTCAAGTAATTAATGGAATTAAAAAAAAATAAAACTATTGTTCATCTTCTTTGAGGTTCCAAGTTTTAAAGTAAGCCAAACATTGAATTTTGCAAGCCACGTTATTTGTAACCTTTCCCCCCTCTTCCACGTTTTATGTTATTGTTTCCAAACTAAATTTGCAAATTGTTTTATAGACTGCAGTAAAACCATGCATTCCTCTATATGGTGTTATAAATGATTCTCTTTATGTCCAATTTTCTTTTTATCACGTCAACAAATTTATTTATAATGTTACGTTGCCAAAGGACTATTAGATTCATTCTCACAAGTATCCCTCCGTCTGGTAAATATCATGGTCATATAGTAGTAGTTTCAGTTGCCATAATTTAACAAATTATGCTTAATGTTTTGTCTTTTTTTAAATTTCAGCTAGTAATTATATATGATGCTGTGTTCTCACTTGTGTGTGTCACATGCTATGTGTGTCACTTCTGAAATGCTCAAATTATGTTGCCTTTTAATTACAGAGATGGTCACTCCTGAGAATTATTCTTTTCAATTTATGTTAGATCGCGGAAATACAAAGTGAAGGCTTGCATTGGATTTTACTTACTCAGTAGTCTGATCTAATCATTATGCATAGATGATATTGATCTCTTTATAATTATCAGACATTCCTTAGATTTAAAAAATTTTATAGATGTTTGAATTTCCAAATTTGCTTTTCTAAATTCATCATTTCTAAATAATAACGATATGCATTTAATTTTTTTTAAAGTTTGTCTGTAAATAGCACTTTTTGATAAAGTTATTTTCCTCAATTCAGTGTTCATGTTGTCTTGTATTTTTCATCTTTAGAACAAAATTTCACTCCATTTGCGTAAATGTGATATTCCACATTAGTCAATACAGTGAATATATTCTTTGAGCAAGAAACTGTATCTTATCATTCCAGTGTTTGAAACTTGTTAAATTATAGACTAATCTCATGAATAAATCTTTGTTTTTACTATTTGATTATCAGTAATATCAAATCTGTTTTTAGATCCACTGTGTGTTTCCCAACATATTTTGCCCCACCTGAGCACCTAAAAAGCTTTAATTTCAAGTCCCAGTAGTCCACTCACTCCCTTTTAAAATGTAAATTCATTTCCCCCAATGATCAAATGTCACCCCCATAATCTTCAAATTGCCCTCCTGTGAGATATAGGCCCTTCATTTGTAAACACTATGTAAATTAGCAAATGTAATGTGAGTTGCAAAACTGTTTAAACACTTGCATAAACTACAAAGAACTTTGCACATAATTTATATAGTTCATTCATAAAATGAGTTGTATTTTATTAATTACAATAACAATTCATCAAGATTAAATTAATGCATCACAACACTAAATTATCACAAACTGATCTGGGTACAATACTATGATCAGTTCAAGGACAGTTAAAATGGAGGAGGTAACAACAGGAAATCATTCATTAAATAAATAAATATTTTTTTTTAAAAATATTTATAAAACCATTTCTTATTTTTAATAGTTTTTATGTCTTATTTTTTTAAATATTTTTTTTTAAAAACAATATGAATCTCATAATTCAATTGCTGCTTGTTCAATTCATCTAAGGGTTTTAACTTGGAGGGAAAATATTTTTCATCCATACAACAATTTTTTTTTTAGATCAGTGCCAAAAGGACTAGGGACAAGTAACTCTGTAAAATTAAGAACATTTTAAGTGATCTAATCCAAGTATTGCATTAAGACTAAAATGCTTACTTTTAAAGGCTTAGTCTGATCTCAGGAAAATTACAACTGATGGCTTTGCCAACTTTGTCCATTTACTGTTCCTTATAGGGTTTGTCATTTCTAAGACCAGAAGACGTCACATTGAATTACACAGTGTCTTAGTAAAAAAAATAATTTATTTCCACACATATATAGCAGTAACAATTTGTTTGCAAAATCTTTCGTAAAATAAAGTGGTGAACTCGTTTATGTCTAGATTAAGGCTCACATTAACATAGAGCTATTGAGAGATTGGCCAAATGGAATACCAGGATGTTTTATTAATATCTTAGATTGGTCAGACTGTACGTTCATATGTTCCGCCATTTCAATGACAAACCCTATTCCTTTACCATATGATGAGTGGCCTGGTGAGAGCAGAGGTCAACACAAAAAAAAAACCAAGAAGAATAGAATGGAGTTCTTATGTGAACATAATAAAAAAATCTAGACATCCATGTCAAAAGAGCTTCATTGTATCTCTGTCACTGATTATTTAAAAAGGTCAAGACAAAGCATCTACTTGGTCATCTACTTGGTTGGCGGTCCTTTTGTTATATGGTTTCTCATCTGATGGCTAAGCATATATTTTAGAATGGCAAACTCTTTGAGCTATGACTTGGTTTTTAAAAAAAAAGGGGGGGGGGATTTAAAGTAGAGGCAACCAATAATTAATCAGCTTTTTAGTGTCTTTGCCAAAATTACCATCCAGTAAAAACTAAGTGATAATGACTCTTCTATAATTGATATTTGACAACATAACAGACAGATTCAATGTAACAAACTACAAAGCCAGTAAACTTAACACCTGGGACCAGCCATTTGGAATGTTGGTATTATGAATAATAATTCAGATTTTCACTTATTTAAAAGGTACTCCGCAAATAACACAAAATAAAAGCAGAATTTAAACATTATGGTAATGGTAATCAAGTGTAAAATTATTGTAAACCAAAACATAGTACAGCAAAGAAGTAACTTGTATACGTTTGTGACAAATTGCTACAGAGACTGCAGGTACAGAAACTGTCTTCAAAGTTACTTTCATGTTAAAAAGTTAAAGCAATCAAAAACTATATTCTTACAAAGACCACATCCAAAAAAAAATTTGTAAATAAAATATTTCACTTTGGTTTGCAGTCAAGAAAAGATGGGGGAGCCATTTTCCTGCAACAGCTAAAACTGTTGACAACCTGATTCAACTTTCAATGCATGATAATTCAATAACAGCACTTATAAGAAATAATTTACCCCAACTATCAAATTTTCTAAGTGTTGATATTTCCTCTAAGAAACAAAGAGGAAGACACAAAAATAATAATGTTTTGGTGAGTCAAGAAATTCATTTCCTAAAAACAATTCTATCTGAAGCCAAATTTTGAATTCAAGAAATTTTAAGGATTCCTAAGAAAACTTCTATCCACAATGAACATTTACAGCTTAACTTGGTAAAGACATCTGCAAGTTCTAGGTACCAGTGTCAGGCTCATATACAATTTATTACCTTAACCCAGAACAAACAAAAAAAATGAAACAACTTAATGTCATATATAAGGTCATGCCACCTGACGTCATGCCACCTGACACTACAATCTACTTTCTAGAAATATTGCAAAAGCCCCCCATTATAAAAACAATAGCACATTATGCAAATGAGCTGAAGTATAAGACACAATAATTTGAATGACATAAACCACAAATCATTCTCATGTTATTTACACAAATGATTGCATATAAATTCAACAGGTTTGCCTCCATCTTTTGCCATCCACACACAGCTTGAGGAAATAATTTGAATGAGTTTTAGGGGGGATCAATGTAAACTAGAAGTAAGCCACATCATCAAGTGACCCTCGGGCTTTGGTTTTTGCAGTGCAAACACCAGAAGTTTTTATAAGTTAATAATTTGGGATATTTATATATTGTAATAATTGTACAATGCAATGATAAAAAAATGGGGGTAAAATAAATTTCCATCACACAATTAATTACATGACGATAATGTTAAGATTAAGGATAAAATATTTTCATCATGGTGCTATTTTTTTTTTTAAGGATGTCTAGTTCGATTCATGCAAGTCTCACATACATGTGTGTGCCCATAATTTGAACATTTTTCGATTCATGATTGTTAAGGATTGTTATTAAATAGATATTTTTTCCACAGGTCTCAGAAGATTGTCACATGAAATATCAATTACATCAGTGATTGTGAAGTGAAATATCTTCTTATTTTCATCAGAACAATTGGCAGAGTAAATTATTCTTGAAAAGCTGTTTACAATTTTAAAACACTGAATTTCAAAATACCCACATTTATTGAAATAATATTTTAAGTTTTATGCTCTGAAATTGTCCTATGTGTACACTTGGAGATTTATATAAAAAAAAGGTCAACTCTTAATAAATGCTTCTAAAATGTATTTAAAAGATGAGAGGTACTCCTTTTACAAAAATAATTTCCTGTTAAATTTTTTAATTTTTTTTTTTACTTCTTCTGATAGCAATCTATTTAAACTAGCACTCATCTAATAGTTAGGACAAAAATTCCAGTAAAACACATTTCCCTCTACTGTATTAAAACATGAAATCACCCACAAGTTAATGTTTTCAAATCCAATATTTTTCAATGGTTCAATTCAATTTTACTTCCTGTAAAGAGTGATTAAAAGATCATAAACTTTCCCTCGATTTCTTTAAAAAAAAATTAATCCACCAGTGCATTTTATCATCCAAGCAAATCCTTGAGATCATCACTGGTCAGGGATTTGCTGGCAAGTCCAGGGTTCTGTTGACCCATGGATGTGGGCCTCATCACGCCTGGTGCTCCCATCCCTGGCCAGCCCTGACTAGCTTGAGAGCCGACAGGGTATCCCATCATGGCTTGTTGCGGGGGATAGCCAGACATCGGGGATGAGGTGAACCCCCCACCAACACTGCCCCATCCTTGGGGACTCTGCATGGCCCCCATTCCCATCCCGCCTGCCGGCTGAGGCTGCATTCCCAGCTGATTCTGTTGCATCATGGGTCTCACCCCTGGCGACTGCCCCATCTGGTTGATAGGTGTCTTTTTTGCAGAGGAATTGGGAAGCAGTGAATCGAATGATGAAAGATCCACATTGGTCTTCGCTGTTAAGGGCAACGAAGATGTCGAGGAGGAGAGAGACGACTGAGCTGTCATGTACTGTGATGAATTAGTTGATGATGATGAACCCCAATTGACGGCTGGAGAACTGGTGATGGAACCTTGCCAAGTGGGCACGCCTGTTGACATTGCACCCCCACCGCCATATCCTGAAGAAGCTGGACTGATGTTGGTCACTGAGTTGGATTTGGAGGTCATGCTCAGGTTACGCATATTTGACTCCATTAGAGTTGAGGTCAGGTCCCGTGGGCCTGCGGGGACCGTGCTGGATTTACTGGATGGGGACTGAGATGCCATGGCTTGTCCTTGTGGGGCTAGAGGCTTTTGGGCTTTTAAAGCCCTTTCTTGATCCTGCTGCTTTGCCAGTCTTTGCTTCTCTTCCATGGATAGTGTTGTCTGCCAGGTAATAGAAAGAAATTAAAATTATTACCCGGATTAAAATATATCCATTTTATTCGTTGCTGTGTTTACTCATAAATAAAAGATTAACTAAAAACAATAAGGAAGTAATAAGATGGTGGAGGCTGTGATCAGGTTGATCAAAGAGAAAATAAGATTCACAAAATCTGAATCAAGACCACTTAAACAAATTTTGTGCGAAACAAGCCTTCTGCAGCAAATAAAATACTACTTAAAAAGGGGGGAGGAAACATCAGGTGATATAAGTTTCCTCAGACTTCAACGACTTTACTTTTTATGTTGGTTGTACATCAAAATCAGGCTGACACTCGTTAAAGCCTACATCTGTGTCGATGTTAAATCAACAAGAAGGGTCTGCTCAAAGTTTCTTACCTTCTTTGGACTGACACTTGTCTCAACATTGTTAGGGGCGTCATCTACCACAGGAGCTTTGACTCTACTGTTATCCTGGCCACCTATACCCATGCCAGACAAGAATTTGTCCATCTGAAGATGACCAATTTAAAAAAAAAATAATCTTAATTGTAAATAACATGCCAATAACTGCACGGGAAGATGCCAAACAGTCAGACAGCAATCAAAGACAACAACTGCACGGGAAGGTGACAAACAGTCAGACAACAATCAAAGAAACAAGTGCTTAGTAATTATTATTTGATAATTATAACATTTAAAAAAGAATGTATGCAGAGATGTCTAATTGCAGATCGAGCAGTGCCCCCTAAGCAAGTGAGAAAATTCTCTGTAAATATTAAGACATCATATAGGCTCCTAACTGAAGTCCAACATATGGCACTGCATCGATCAGAGACCAGCCCTGACTACATGGTGCTATGGCATTATAAGACAATACGAACATCAAATCT